TTTTTAAGGATCCTAAGGTTTCATTTTTATTTTGTTCTTCATGAAATTACTGTTCACGAGTTCTGCTCATGAGTATTATTCATAGGGGTAAAATTGTCATTACAAATTTTTTGAGTTAGAATGTATGAATCAATGTATTATTTGTTTGGGCATTTTTTATACTTGAGATATTAAATTGTAATATATAAGAGGTGTGTGAGGCCTTGAGGGAGTCATTCCACATGATTTTTAAAAATTGAATGAGAGAGAGAGCTTAAACTTTTGGAACCCTAGCTTGGGGTATGGAGAAGAAACCCTACGTTTCTTTGAATTGTGCTTGTGTTTGGCTTATTCCTTGTTGTTTTACTGTTTCCTCAAATTTCCCAACATCAATGGGGGACCTACCCCCACAACCTAATCCGTGGCTTCTTGAGAATGAAAATCCCTAAAAACCTCGAATTTGTGATTTATCGAAAGATTGATAAATTTTTTAGTTTTTCGATTCCTTCCGAAATGAAAGGCAATACTTCGTGGTAATTTTTTGCGCTTCTAGTGGTCGAAATTGAGGACTTTTGGCGACCCAATAGATGAGGTTTGGGCCGACATCGTTTTCATTTTGATATTTTTAGAGCATTATGATATTTGAATAAGGGTTTTGATTTTTTATTTTTTGCTATAACATATTGTGTTATGAATCATATTTAGTTTTGTTTTACTCTTTTGACATTTTTACATATTGTAGGAATATTTACCGATTTGTAACTTATATTTTGTGAATAATATTAATTCTTAAAATTTGGATGAAATTGATATTTTGTGAATATTTGATATCCAAAACCAAATCTTATAGTCTTATTGATATTGATTAGTAAATAATGAATTAATAATTATGTTATATCTTAATTCTTATTTGAAGTTATACATGAATATTATTTTTAGATTGATATCATATAATCATTGTTACATATTATGTGATTTTGTTTCCTCTTATTTTTTTCTTTTCTTTTTCATATTATGTTATATGATTATATCTTTACATCTCATTGTAAAGTTTCTTCTTTAATGTAGTTGCATTTTTTATATCTTCATTTAAAACTTAAATTTTTCTTATGTTTTTTACTTTTTTTTTTAATAGTTAATACTTTAATCTTGTGTATTTTACAGGTTGATTAGGAGATTCTAATTCACCTTGATACTCAGTCAATTATTGTGTCTCTGTGACAATGTCTTCTAGTGGATCAAGTACATATAAATCTTCTCCAAATCCCCTTGACAAGAATATGGTGGAGTGAAAGTTTTGTAAAAAATTATATATTGTCGACATCAACATATTTAAGAAACATTTAGCCGATATTAAAGGGGATGTGGCCCCATGCACTCTAGTGCCAGCTGAGGTCAAGAGAGAGATGATAGGGTAAAAACAAGAAAGAGGAGGTGAGGAAAAGACATGAAGAAATTGTAAGGAGTGTAGACATTTTTGAAGTTCGATGAGATGAAGAAGACGTTTATACTAAGATTGGATCTTCTAGTAGGCAAAAAAGAAGAGGGCCTGTGGATACTTTCTTCCCCCACCCTGATTCGGAGATTCTATCAAGAGAAAGGGGTCAAACAAGTTTAGAGACCCACTTTAAAAAAGAAGATAGAGATAAGTGGCCCAATATGTGGCCAGGTGGTACTTCTAAGCAGGTATTTATTTTAATGCTGCTAACTTTAGTAGCTTCTAGACTATGTTGGAAAGAGTGGGCCAATTAGGGCGCAGGCGCCAGGGTGTAAGGCTCCAACTGCTTGTGAGCACAAAGGACGATTATTTACGAAACAAGTTAAGCTAACCAATAACTATTTGAAGACCCATAGGGATGCGTGGGGTGTTTATGGTTGCACAGGCATGGCTGATGGTTGGAGTGATAAGCGGAACAGAAGCATCATGAATTTGATGGTAAATTGTCCATTAGAGACAATGTCCATGAGGTCTATTGATGCTTCTGACAAGTCCCATGATGTCAAATTCATTTTTAATTTGGTAGACCAGTGCATAGAGGAGATAGGGGAGTATAAAGTAGTCCAAGTAGTAACCAATATGCTCCCTCTTATTTAGGCCGCGTATTTTCTTCTCCCCTTGTGCAGCACACTGCATAGACCTCATGCTTGAGACAATTGGTAAGAAGAAAACAGTCGAGACAACCATCCAAAAGGCAAGGAAAGTCAATGTTTCTTTATACAGTCACACTCAGGTAAGAACCTAATCTATATAATACACTAAACTATGTATTATGCTTCTTTGTTACTTCTTTTGAGTTTTTTGAATGCATTGACATTGCAGGTAATTTGCTCAGGGAATTTTATGTTGGTCAAGTCTTAGCATGATGAGGAAGTTTACTGATGAGAAAGACTTGGTGAGGCTTGAGGTGGCTAGATCCACCTCCTACATGCCCTTGCAATCTTTATATGAGCAAAATGAAAAGTTGAGGTCCATGTTTGTATCGGAGGATTGGACCAAGTTGAAGTGGTCCAAGAAAGCGTCTGGAAAAGTTGTTATGGATATTATCATGGACTCAAGATTTTGGAACAAGGTCCAATATGCCTTGTACGTCTTTCACCCTTTAGTAAAAGTTCTCAAGATGGTTGATGATGAGAAGAAACCAGCTATGGGGCATATTTATAAGGCCATGGAGGATGCAAAGGAAGAAATCAAGAGAGTTTTTGGCCATGATGAAAAGAAGTATGAGAATTGTTTGAAGATTATTGAAGATAAATGGAACTACCAGCTTGAGAGACCCCTACACTTAGTAGGAAACTACCTTAACCCTGCTCACTTTTACACAGATCATGGGGTACATAGCAAGCCTGAATTCATGGATGCATTAAACCAGTGCATTGTAAAGCTCAACCCTGATCCTGAAGTGCAGGACAAGGTAATGATGGAGGTAGATCTGTATAGGCTCGCTAATAGGTCTCTTAGTAAGGAGGTGGCAGTCAGGCAAAGGTCCAAGATCCCTCCTGGTAAGTTTAAAACTTCCTCAATTTGATTTTATGATTTGAGTATTATTTTCAATTACACAGATACCTAATTTACTAAATTACTACATTTACATGAAATAGGTGCATGGTGGATGGGCCGTGCCAAGGGGAAGCACCCCTCATTTGCGGCAGATGGCCATGAAAATACTAAATCTAACTAGCAGCTCATCTGGATGTAAGTGCAACTTCAGCACTATTGAAATGGTAATATACTAATATTACTTGTTTACTTAATAGTTAACAGTTAACTTAATATGTACGCAGTTAGTTAGTAGTTACTTACATAGTCACATAGTAAGTAAGTGAGCTTTTCTCTATTAGGTGCATACAAAGAAGAGGAACAAACTAGAGCAAAAGCGACTGAACGCCTAGTCTTTGTTCACTATAATCAGAAGTTGCAAGAGCGCCATTGACAGCTGGAGCACAATGAAAGGGAGGCTATTGAAACTGTTGATATTGATGACACATGCAAGTGCCTAGTTGATGCTGATGATGAGGTATTCCCTGGAGAGGGCTTAATCTAGGGCCAGCTTCGTGAGGTTACTGGGACAGTAATGCCCCCTGTGCCTACCACTAGGGCTCAATCTCAAAGCCAAAGGAAGGGGAAGGAGAAGGCCCAGCAATGGAAGGCAATGGCGAAGAAGAGGGAGAGGATAATGAGATCAAGAGAGGAGGATGAAGAGGAAGAAGCACATTCAGAGGAGACTAGGGATGACACTCAATATGTTGAGGAGGACGATGACTCTGATGATGATGGCATGTCATCATCATCAGATGCTCCTTTGGATCCACTTGAATACCCCAAATGGTGATGCCATAGAGTTGTTTGGTTGACATTAAAGAATTGGGGTGGTGACATGTCACATGTATTTGTTATTTGTTTTTGTCTTGTTGAGTTTGAGCATTATTTCTAGACCTCTAGTTTTCTACAATGACATTTGGGATTTCAAGCAATTTGATGTCTTAAGATCTCTTTGAGTCTTTGTATCTGTAAATCTGTTTTGTGACTGTAATATTATGTTTTCTCTTTACCATGAGGGGTTTGGGGCTCTAAAATTGCCCTAAAATCTCCCTAAGGCCTAAACCCATGCCCTAAGAACTCCTTAGTCCTTTTTGTTTGTGGGAGGGAGGGGGGGGTGGGTGTTTGTCTTTGGCGTGAGGGGATCCCATGTTCCTGGGTAGGCGGCTAGACGGCCAGGTCCCCCAGGCCGCCTACGCTTTTTTTAACATTGGCAGTAAGAGTGTGATCCTAGATTGTAGTAGGTTTTATTTTATATTTTCACATTGTATTTGCTACTTGTAAGTAGAATTTGCTGGTTTAAATAAAAGCAAAAGAGAACTTTTTGAATTTATACACTGGGCAATTCTCCATAGCCAACTTTCACTACAATCCATATTTGTCACTCACTAAAAGCTAATTACAAGTTGAGCAGGCATCATATAGCATACTTGACTTTAAGCATTCTTTAGTTGCACAATAATGTTAATTCTCATCATTCAAGGATGGTACAATAATGTTAATTCTCATCATTCAATAATGTTAGTTCTCATCATTCAAGGATGGTAGGGGCATGTTTTTTGGGTCTCTAACCATGTGAAATTCGTGTTAATGTTGAATGTGCATGCATTGATGTGTACATACATGAATCTCTGGTAAACACTAAGGGTTAAATATACTGAAATGATCAAATGCCAAGACAAGAGATACAATGCATACTTTACCAGTCAAGATGACAACCCCCACAGAGATGTCATCCCTAGCATTATCGAAGGCATGCATAAGCTCTTTCACTGTATGAGGTCTAAAAGCATTCCTTCTCTCTGGTCGATTTATAGTGATCTATAAAGAAACAATTGACATTGTAAACAGAAAAACAAAACTTCCAGTTGCTAATTAACAATCAAATATGTAGATAAATTTGAAACATTAAAAGAATATGCATATATATTCTAACATCAAACTTTGAATGGCCTCCAGCCAATGTCTGAGAGTGACATATCCCACCAGCAACAAGTTGCCCTCTTCTATGTGGTTCCTTGTATGCATGTGTTGTCATAGTTATAAGTCGCTGTCTAGTTAATATCAAGTTATAAAAGACATAGACACAAGTGCCCCTCGGCTTTTGAGAAAGCCAGATCTACCCCGAAATAAGTGTCTCCGTTTAATCTCTCGAATCCCACTCAATCAAGATCCACCATAGGTAACAAGATCATGTGAGACTCAATCAATGATGCCCCCAGCAGCCTGCCACAATGGTCGCTCTATTGTACCTTGCCCTAGTTGTTCACAATCCACAAATGGTTGTCCCTCAATGCATGTCCATATACGTGCAAAGGGTTTGTTGCAATCGGATTCACCCCCAAAACATGATTTGCAGGATTTCCTAATTTAAAACCAATTTTAAAAAAATACACTCCCCATAACAAACCCACAAAACCTCAAACAATCAGATTACTAAAAATACTCCTAGTATCATAAAATTGTACAAATAAATCCATAATATAATATCCCAAAACAATAACATAAATAGGAGAAAAACATTCTTAATATAGCTAGAGTACATTGGCACTACAACAATATTACTAAACGTTATTTTATGGATTATAACTCACTTGACTTTTCCTGCAAACCATTTTGAAGACTCGAGGATTTAGATGGATGTGCAAGCTGTTTTATACTATAGAGATATGACATATGCATGATTTTAGATCATGCACATTATCCACCCAAGCAGGCAGCACCATGACTGCTCTAGTCTTAATATGGAAAATCCAAACAATCCAAACTCACTATTACCCAGCTCCCGCACACGATGCAATCTGCATGTTTTGCAGATGGAATCAATGAATAATATACCCTTCCTTCTTGACACCCAGATCAAGAGTACTAAGGCTGTAAAAATAGCGTATATCATTGGTGGCTGGGACTGTCTACACAGTACACTAGCAAGAAGCCGTTTGGAAGAGCAGTCCTCCACTCTAGTCCCAGCCCACATCCGCTTGTATGTTTGAGTAGCACACAGCACATAATCAAGTCCCGAACTTATGGTGAGGGATTCACCTTGCCATCACAAGGCACCAGATCGCATGTGGAGTCGACTATCGAAACCTATAGTTTATATTTTTCATTGCAGTATGAGGAAAATGTGCTAAACATGATATATACTGACCGAGACCTATGGCCCACTCCATATACCAGGACTCAATCCATCACCAGCTATTTATAACCATGGGAATAGAGAATGCACATCCATAAATGCAAGCATAACAAGGCACATCCATAATAGCCCGGCTACATAAAACCACGGGAATGGAGAATGCACATCCATAATAGCCCAGCTACATAAAACAACCAAAAAGCTAATGGCTGTTTAAATGGTCACAAAACCTAACACTGTGTCCTCAAGGCACCAGATTGCATGTGGGGTCGTTTATGGAAAGATGTCAATCATAGTATCCCCCAGCAATCTGGGGAAAACACGCTAAACAAGATATATACTGGTCAATCCCTAGGGCCCACTCCATATAGAAGCACTAGGTCTAGCGCAAGCTATTTGTAACTATGTGAATAAAGAATGAATATTCATGAATGCAAGCAAGCCTAGGGGTGGCAATGGATCCGGACCCGGACTCGACCAGGACCCAAACCCGACCCGAAGCCTGATATGGGTCCAAAAATTGAACCTAGAGGGTCAGGTCCGCTTCCAAACCTTGGACCCAAGTCCGGGTCTCCAGGTCCGAGTCCCATTTTATATTTTTGGGTCCCAATTTATGAAATATATTTAAATATATAGATATTTTAATTTTTGAGTCAGGTCCAATCGGGTCTGGCTCTGTGTTCCACATTACATTTTCGAGTCCGGGTCCGGTCCAGGTCTGGCTCCCAGACCCAACACGACCCGTTGCCACCCCTAAGCAGGCCTACAAAGGATAACATAAATGGAAACATTTTTCATTACAATTAATTTTGACTAATTCAAAGTCCAAGCACGTAGCAAAATGAAAAATTAAGAAACCACCAACAAATGCCTTTAAGGGCCACATAACTCCTTGTGCTCATCCTATCCTGATGAGGTTGTGACAGAAGTAAGTGAATCTCTTCTTGTCACCTTTGTTTAAGAACACAATTACACCTACCTAAGCTACAGTCAAACTATAGAAACCATGTAAGCAAGTTACACACCATTGGGTATAATTCCATACAACTTTCGCCACTTTCAATAAGATCATGGATTTTATGTTTTACATATATTACAAAATTGATGTGTTCCAATTATAAATTCACAACACATGGATGCAGAATCTTCCATTACTTCAAATCCTTTTTTCCTTTTACTGAGAAAATTCCAATTGAAAATCCAAAATATAGTTTCATCACAACATGAACAGAGAATATAAATCCAAGACATTGAACATTGATTATCAACTCATACGAGGGTTACTTGGTAAAGATATTAGAAAATTATTAATGCCAGGGAGGTTTTTTTTTGTTTTTTCTTTTGATAGGTTTGGAGGTTTTATTATATGCACCCTAACTAATTTCATTCAGTTGACAATAACAAAATGTGATCGAAATTCAAAAACCAAACAAAAATTGAGATGTGGACATCCCAGCAGCAACTCGTGCAGAAAAGAACACTTATTACAAAGGACTATTGTCCAAAAAAACTCCTTCACTTAACAAAAAAAAAACAAATACAAAAATTAAACATAGGTAAGAAAACAAACAAATCCAAGAAAGGAAACAAAGTCTAATCTGATATAATAACCAAATTCAGCTTTTTTTCTTCTTTTGTTGTGAATTTCAATATTCCCCATCAAATGTGAGGAAGACACCGAAATGCAGACGAAAATCCTACATTTCAACTCTATCATTACCAAATATAACCGCTCAACTCAAAGGACAAGCCGAGAATGGATCAAAATAATTATTGCGGACAAAAGCACTAAACACGCAACAACACCAGTAATAACACATTCGAAACAGCCCCTTATCCCTGCAAATGCCTAATCTTCACCATTAGTATCATCCACAACAAAGCCAGTCATCGCTCGAGAGACCAAACAAATATAGCTCCACAATCTTCAAATTACCTTAGCAATGCCTTCTCCAACCGCCTTCTCATAGATAATGTCAGTAAACTCGCGCCCTGATCTGTCACAACAGCTTCTCCACTCCGCCTTATTCAAAGGAACATCACCATGAATCCTGTGATAGCTATCTTTCATGGAGGTAGCAGTGATATGAAGAGGCGAAGAAGAAACAGGAACGAGATGACTGGTTATAGAGCTAATCCTGAGCAAAGCCTTCTGTTCTATTTTATTCACTGTTTCCTCCATTAATGTAGATGTAAAGCTTTTCTGAATAGTCTTTTGATCTTTGGTCGATGGAAGCTTAGGGTTTTGAGGAAGTGTTTGCATGAGTGGAGAGAAGCCATATGACTGGCGTGAGTACTTTTCTAAGTAAACGGATTGGGTTTTGAGGTCTGAGGCTCCCACACTGCTGCGAGATTAGATCATGTTTTTTCGCATCACCGGAGATTACGGGCCATTGTTGACAGGGATGGATTTGTTTTTGTCTGGACATGAGCGTCCAATGCGTTGCTCGCAATTTGAGTATCCAAGGGGCGCGTTTGCATGCCACTTCATTTCGCTATTTACCGTGTTGAGGTTGAAGTTCAACTATAAAACAAAAAGGGTGCGGTTGGCACAAGCCTTCATCCTTCAACAATTAAAGTAAAGAGGATCTCCAAAATTTGTCATTATTGTAGTTTTGGTTTAAAAAAAAATTAAGATGTTGAGAATCTATTTTCATCTTTGATTATAAAATTTTAAATTCTAAAAATAGTTCAAATCAAACAGATCTATAAATGTATGAAAATCTTGAATGTAAAGTGGACCTTCAAATTTTATCATTATTGTAGTTTTGGTGTCAAAAAAAGTTTAAGCTTACGAGAATCTCTTTTTATCTCGAATTATAAAATTTTAAATTATAAAAATAGTTCAAATCAAGCAGATCTATAAATGTATGAAAATCTTGAAAATAGACAGTCCAGATAACATGTTGTAAGATGAACAATTTTTAGGATTTGAAATATAAAAATATTCACGCATCTTGATGTTGAGATGATCAATTAGATGGTTTTCCAATATCACGATAGCATTTTTTTGATGGAGTTTTGAGGTGCGCCTTAATTTTATAATTTTAAGAGGTCAACATTGGTCTAGGAATGGTGAGGACCTTAAACTTTTCCTTAACCCATCCCAAGCCTAGGTAAAGAGAGTTTAGCTCGTCAGAAGCCCGAGTAAAGGAGGTGGATTGTAATGAATGTTAAACTTTGCCAAAACTTTCCATGAATTATGAATCTACATTATTTGCTTATGCCGGGGTATTCTCCGTCGGCAAATAAAAGATATGATGACTTATGGGCTCACTGAGGGTCTAACCATTGATATAGCCGAATGGCAAACCATAATTCACAGAGCAAACTCCAAATAGTTGAGAAATAAGGGTGAGAAATGACATGATCAGGATCCAAAATCCAGATTTCAAACCCTATTCGGTTCCAAGTATGGACCCAAAATTTGGATTTGAAATTTAGATCTGGATCCAAAAGTCAAATCCGAATTGAAATTTGGATCGAATTAAGGTGCAAGTGGATCTGATCCAGATCCACCCCATTATTTTAATAGTAATTTTATATTTTTTATATATTTTTTTAAAAAATAGTATATATAATCCAGATCTGAATCTGCATTCGAATCTGATATATACTATTTGGATTCAGATCTAATGTATACTATTCAGATCCAAATTCAAATATTCAGGTCCGATTTGTCGGATCCGACCTTTTCTCACCCCTATTGAGAAGAGACTGATGATATTGTTGATGATGAAGATGTCAACCTTATATTTCCAAAAAAGAAACATGATTTACATGAGGAGGCTCTGTGTGCAATGTTCAAGTCGGATAACGAATTATATTAGTGATTAGAATGTTTAATCCACCGATAAAGCATAAAAACAGTCTTACTCCTTTATTACTTTTTATCAACAATAGGCTTGCGCACTTTCTCATTTCGTAGAACTACCTCTCTCTAGGAACAGCTACCTCTTGCCCTTTTTTTTTTTTTAATCAGTTACTATGAATTTCATTCACCCATGAGCGATTACAAGGATGTTCTATAAGAAAATGATGTAACCACGGACGATTGTTCGTGCACACCACATTTTGCTAAAGCATCAACTTCCATATTAGCTTCCCTAAGACAATGAGATAACTCAAAAGAACCACTACTTAAAATGAAAAAAATTAATAAAAAACGCTGCATAATCTTCAAGGAGGCTTCATTTATCATGTTGCCCAAGTAATGACAATGCTTGAAACACCTTCAATCATCTTTTGGCCCCCGGGATTCTTTATTATTTTTAAACCTTCCAAAATAGCTCATGACTCAGCTTCGTTCACTGTTGTATGTCAACATGACCCCAAGTAAGTAAATTTGTAGTCACGTCTATGATCTCTAATAGTTTGCCAAAACTTGCGGTGCCTAGGTTTCCTATCGAGCTTCTATGAAAGTTGAGTTTTAAGCAATTTTCATGAGAAGGCATCCAAATACCATTTCGAACCTGTCTGTCATGGTCAAGCTTAGCAACTTCATGTGGATTCTAAAAAATATGCGATTTTGGATTAAACTTGCAATCCTTGTTAGTTGAAAACCATTTAGCTACTACTGCTAAGGTGTTGGACTTCAAAACTTCAATCTCACAATGTATCCCTTCAAAAGTTATTCTATTTATTTATTTCTAAATATTCCAAATAGTAGTCACCCATAATGATATCCATAGCACAATGCCAAATGTCGGCAAATAGGGTTCAGCCACAACTTTGAGCTGTATGGGATCAGAATATTTAGATTCCACAACTTTCTACACAAATCCCATAACCATAGAGTGAAAAGATCCCATAAGCTTTAGAGTAAAGTAAAATAATGTAATCCACACTTTCGTTATCCTTTAAGCATATCCTACAAACATTAACAATTATGAAACCTCTTTTATGAAAGTTCTCCACAATAAGCAGCTTTTTTTTAAATAACTTAACCTTCAATGACACTTGCAGATTCTAGATTCTTACTAAACTATGATCAGCTGCTTCGCGAGCCTCCTCATACAACAATCGATAGACAGACTTAACTGAAGAATCCCCTGAAGTTGTGAGTTCCCACACCAATTGATCATCTTTAATGAGAGCATAAAAGAAATTACGCAGCAAAATTATAATTAATTAAAACTCATGAATGAAAGAGCAGGTGACCTCATGTAGCTGCAAACAATATTCCAAGAAGAGTTAGTAAAATCAGCCCCTTTGAGTTCTTTTACTGAGGCCAAAGGATTGTGACCTTTGGATAAGACCTCAAAGAAAGAATCTCAAAGACCAAGGTCTTCCAACCACTTATCAAACCAGAACAAAGTTTGATCTCCTTTCCCAACTACTTTGCAACAATGGCTAAGGTAAAATGATCAGCAAGCATCAATTATTTTCCAAATAATTGAAAAAGCATCCTTAGATCTTGGACTTTTAATGAGACATGTCAACGCATGTACTTCATATTTCTCTTTTAACGCCTCTCCCCATAAACCATCATGCTGATTTTGAAAACGCCGCCACCACTTAGTCAATAGGCTAGTGTTCATCAATTTGAGTTTTTTAACTTCTAGACCCCCATCTTTCTTGGAAATGCATACTTTTTCCCAATTCAAAAGTTTTAGATTTTTTTCGGTTCCCACATTGCCCCACAAAAAAGATCTCATAGTGTTTTTCTAAGTCTTAACCACCTATTTTGGCATTCTAAAAATGGATATAAAATAAATGGGTATGTTTGACAGAATAGACTTAATAAGAGTAGATCTACTCCAAAAAACAATACTTTAGAGTTTCATAGATCCAATTTCTTATTGAATCATTCAATAATGGGATCCCACAAAGTTGCCGATTGATTTCCTTCAAATAAAACATAACCAAATATTTGCAAGGAAACATTCAAACCCCACATCCAAGAATTATTGCCAAAGATACAACCAAGTGCTCAAAGCAAGCAATCCCAATTAGATTGGTCTCTTCCAAATTCACTTTGAGACCTATGGCAATTTTCATACATTTTAATAACACCCACAAATTCCCTCCTCTGGGTTACAAAAGATAATAGTATCACATGCATAATATAAATGAGAGACATTTAATCTACCAACATTAATTCCATAACTATGGCCTCTACTCACCACATAATTCAGCATTGTACTAAAAATTTTAGCCACGATAGTATACAAGACAAAGGGTCTCCCTATTAGATGCCTCTTGATGTTTTAAAGTAGCCACAATATTTTTCATTGAAAGGGATGGAGAAGTGAGTTGGTATCAGACATCCCCGAATCTATACTCTCTATTGTGATTTAAACCCATTTTCCCTAAGATTTTATGTAAAACATGCCAATCCACTTTGTCATATACCTTTTCAAAATCTAATCTGCATGAAAGACCTAGTTTTGTTCTTTTAACCTTGTATGTATGCATTCTTGTGCCACTAAGATGCTATCCATAATATGTTTGTCTTTAAGGAAAGCAAATTGATGACCTTTCACAACCAAATGCAATACTTCATTCAATCTTTTTGCCAAATCTTTGCAATAATTTTATACACACTTCCTCGTAGGCTAATAGCCCTTATGTTCTTCACACCTCTATAACAATTTTTTAAGAATTAAAGAAATAAAAGTAAAATTTATTGCTTTTAAAGTTTTACCTCTATGATAAAATTCATCCATAAGTAAAAAAGGATCATCCTTTAAAAGCTCACAGAAGGTTTAAGAAAATGCTAAAGGAAAACAGTATGGATCTAAACACCTTATCCCTCCCCAAAGAGAAAAGGGAAAATTATAAATAACCCCCAAGAATAGTCCTCCTATGCAACTTACCCCCAACCAAACTTTTTTTTTTCACTTTTTACCTCAAAATATACTTTGTTGGCAAATACCCCCAACCAAAATGAAAAAATAAAAAAATACTAAACTACCTTTCCTTGACTTTTACCCACGTCTCTCTCCTCTAGGAAAAAGTGCAGTTTGACATATATACATGGCGGTCCGACACGATTAATTCTAGATAAACATGCGGTCCGACAAATGTACATTGTGGTTCGACACTTTTTTCTTGGACAAAATACGGTCCAACAGATCCCTATGGCGGTCCGACATATCTATACGGTGGTCCACCACTTTTATATATGTGATCCGACAGATCTATATATGCGGTCCGACATATCTATATGCGGTCCGGCATATTATGAAGGCGGTCCGACACTTTTTTTAGTTTATTGGGGTCCGACAATTGGTACATGGAGGTCCAGCAGCCCATATAGCTTTTGGTACTATGCATAATTTTGAGTTTATGTGGCCTTTAAAAGCCTTATGAGTGTGTAATGAAAAACATTTATTATAGTGGAACATAAACTCAGTGGGAGTGTGGTCCCTTGATGACCATACTAAGCAAATGATGTTTGCTCATGCTAGAATGTGCTTGACGATCTAGGCCAATCGGTTAGAAAACCCAAGGTACCTGGGCATAAAGAATAAACCGATAAGGGTTTTAGGTTAGCCCTTGATGAGGTCGGAGCTTATGCATGGATGAGTGAGCCGAGGGACTGTGTGACCGTTGTGTGTGATTGTAGGCATACAGAGACGGAGGCCAAATCCTCATCCATGTTCCATCACATGGCATGCATATCGATAGATCGTTCGGAAAAACCAACTATCCACCTTTGGGTGAAGCGTATGCATGTGTGAGAGATATCCCTATGTATCATAAAGTTGTGGTCGCATCAGGTCATGGTGACATTGACTCGTCTCTAGAGGAGGACCTGTAATCCACAGACTGGGATTGCGACCCCTTGGCTCATCAGCTAGATTTTGGTGACTCGTTAATGAGCCCCTGCTTGGACTGTGGGTCATGGGAAACACTGGGTCGGTTCGATAAAGCAAGTTTGGTTTGTAGTCCACAATTGAAGGTAGAGTTCCTCATTATTACATATTGAATTCCTAAACCATATGGATCCATTTCCCATCATATTAATTTAATTGTGTTCATTTTATTATAGAAATTGTTTTAGATTTCTTATTTGAATTTTTATGAATCTTTTAATATTTTATTTATATTTTTTGGACTTATAAAAATGAAGTAATTAATTTTAAAGGTTATAGAAATTCAAATAATGTTTTATTGTTTTTTTTTAATTTTTATAAAAAATTACATGGGGGCTCATAATTCACATGGCCCCACCAGGTATGTGGGTGGGGCCTACATGTGCCACATATGGGTGGCACACCCCACCCCTTGGATACTTTTTTGATTACTTTGTGTTGAAGTTTCAAATATTATGGAAAATATGTTTTAAGGGATATGGTCAATTTGAGTATATAGTAAACACTGACCTTATCTTATTTAAATATGGTAGCATATATTAACTTGATAATATTTGACATATTCTTATGGAATATATGAGATGGAACATGCTACTTTACGGAATGAACAATATTTTATTAGATTTAATATTGATGGGAAAATGGTTTAAGGAAGGGGGAATAATAGTCCATGCACCTTCCATAATGTTGATGACCCATTTATAAAATGGATGACTTAGATTTCTCATCCCACAAGTCACATTGATCAACGGTCTATATTCAATATCAAGAAAAAGACAAACTATAGGAAACCTTAAGAAACCCTGAACCTAACTTAGCACTNTAAACTATGAGTGCTCTCCCCCATCCTAAA